AAGGAGAAGTGATAGGAATATTTTAATGTTTATTAGTTTTGAAATGAGACTTTTCATTTTAGAGTGTTCGCAGTAGCATTGAATAGCTTTGTGTCTGCTGCCACATTTTCCTTTGTCTTTCTTAGTTCTGCACTCTGCTCTGTGACATGATTTAGGTATTTTCTGACAAGAGAGCTCAGTTTAGAGCAGCAAGCCTCAGAAACTAAGTGGAAGTGAATCTTGAGCAAAGGGTTAAACTGAGTCCCAGCTGTTGTGTGAATGAGAAAGAGAATTTTCCATCCAAACACGCATCAATAAGTCATGCCATATATACTCTATTCATATTTTGGATGGTCTAACAGATACTGTGTGAGCTATGTCCAAAAGTCACCTCACTGTCTAATTAACGTATGTCATATTTTAACACCTGCAAAATTTACAAGCATACACATTTGTAGAAATAATGGCATATGAAATTTTCAGGTCAATGAACTGTCCAGTATTTATCATAAACTGAAACATATTTCTGATTAGACATGGGTGATCTGTCGTGATAGAAGTGCTGAATAATAATGATCATACATTTTGCAAGTGCAAGTTCTTGTATGTGCAAATCTAAGTTTTTGCATGCTCTAATAAGGTGATTTTCAAATTTTGAGGCACATTCATGGATCTCTGAAATATTTTACATTTTCAGCAAGAGAACTCTGTTATTGATTTATAAAATAATTACCCTTTTAAATGTTTACATACCTTAAAAATATAGTCAAAGGATTTCAGAGGTATAAAGCTTGTTAAATTAATGGAGTTGTAATAAAAAGCTAGTATCTATAAAAGTTTATAAGATATAAGCAGTTAATTAAAAAACTATAGCAAAATAAGTTTGGAACTAGACTATCATGTATTTGTGGTGTACCATCATCTTAAAAACTTTCAAAAAGAGCACACTGAAGCCAATTAAAAAAACTAAGGAATAGGACAAATGGATGGATCAAATAAGTCTCTTTTTTTTTGAAACTTAAAAGTTTTAATATTGCTCTAAAACTGCATCCATAAAAGAAATTAAGAAATAATTATTTTGCCTTTGGAAAAAGTCAACCTAATGAAAACATTTCATGTTTGCTCCAATTTTTCTTCAAATATATTGAATGTAGTTGTGATTCTTTAAGAAAAATACATTGTTTTGTTACTTAAATATAAGAAATAAAATAACTCCATAGTTTGAAGAAGAAACTTGGTTGGGGACCTTTTGTCCTGATAGAATAAATTTTGTTGTATTTTAATGGCTCTGGTCACTTTTTCTGTCCCTGACCAATATACACATCCCTGAAATATGTATATGGTTCTTTCAGTGCTTGCTAGAAGAATAAAGCCAGACAGGATTACTGAGTTCTGAATGTCGGATAATCATAAGGTACTGCAGAGAAGGGAAGTTGCTTCCTGGGCATCTCTTCATGAAATGAAGATGAGCGATGTAGCTATCCCTGCACCTTTTGGCCAAGACTCCACAGGTTTCATAGTTCTACTTTTTTAAGGCCATGAGTCACATTTCAGCACTGTAAAAAAATAAGGGTCAGGTCTCTATTGCTTAACAGAAACCTAATATAGACAAAAGATGGTGGGAAAAAGATGGTTACTTGCCAGGAGTAAAAGGAAGGGCTATATTGGCAGGAATATGCAATACAGTAACCTAAGGTTGAGTTCATGGAGTACAATATGTGACTTACATCTTACTGAGCATTTGCTCGCCAATGCTACTCTGCAGTGTGAAAGTATAAAAAAGCTCTGCAGCGCTAAACATGATTATCATTAAATACTGTTTCCAGCAAATAATTTCAATAAAAAAGACTCAGGCTTTTAGGAGTGCAAGTTTTTCACACTGTTGTAGAAGTACTACAATAGATTCTACACCAACCGCTTGCAGTTTTGATTTTGCTCAAATTAGGTTAATGTTCCTGATATGGCAGAAATGTGGATAAGCAACAAAAAACCGCCAACAACATTCAGGATGGGAGCAGGGATTTTACAACTTCTCCCAGTTAAAATATTTTAAATGTCTTAATAAAGAGAAACATAAAGCAACATATTCATTAACTAAAACTGTGCTAAGCTTTTACTTTGTGCTTCTGCGATTACCCTCAAGAGAGTAACTTTTGAACCAGGCTCTGATGACAATGGGTTATTTATGCTAAATACACATCCTATTTTGTAAGGTAGCTAAGGAAGCAGTGGGAGAAAAAAATATAATCTTTTGCATTAATTATATTAATCACTGATAAGGGACTAAAAATAATTAATTAGGGGATCATTTAAGTTAGATGTTCGGATAATTTTGCAGCCTAATTTTTCCTAGATGCAGAGCACCCACAAATCAAGTTTAGACAAAGAAGTCATTCACTACTGTTAATAACAATACCAAAAGTAACACAACAAGAGGGCACAAACTGAGCTATTATTCCTTTGGTGTTTGATAGCAATTTAAATTTAAGAAAACAAATATTGAAGTACCTTAATACTTATTATGAAACATACAGGATAGTCATAGAGAACAATGAAATAGTTAAAAAGATGTTGCTCATTGCTGAACACTTATGCTACATTTGATCATGAAGTTGTTAGCTTTTTGGATATTAGGTGCAAAAAAGTGCAAAGAATATTTAGTTAACTGTTACAGTACCACATTACAAAAAGTATTTTCTAGGCCACAAAGGCCACTGCTGATACCATTTATATTAAGATAAATATATACACAAAATAGTTTTTCAATCTCCACATATTTAGTTGTATATATATATACCTGTTTCTATGTCAACCTTGCTAGGCCACAGAATCTCAGGATGATAACAACAATGGAAGGGAAGAAGCGCACAGAGGAGAGCTTGTTCTCCTATTTAAAAATTACTCACCCAGAGCAAATGGAGGAATGAAATTCTGCAAGGCTGCTCTGTATTTATGGTGATGAAAATACAGTCTTGAGCAGGTGGGATCAGTGTTCAGAGTTACCAATCCTCTCTGGAAAAAACTGTTTCTGCCTAGAGACCATGAATAGAAACCTGGAACACGATTTATGTATTTGTTTGCTTGCTTGTTGTGTTTGTAGGCATAAAAGGCAAGGTATAAAACCTGCCTCTTTTTTTTGCCTTAGAAACACCTGCAATATTAAGACCAGCCTTCCTCACTTTTGTGGAGCAGTTAAGACACTTCAAGGCATATTTGAATACCTTAGAGATTAGTTAATGGACTGGAGGCACTGGAGCTGCATAAATGTATTGTGTGTCAACCAGGCGAAACTCACCAAGCCAAAATGGTTCTTCAGAAGTCTGTCTAAACCGCTTTTTCCCTTTCTAACTAGATTAATTCTCACAAACTCTTCTATTATCATAAACCAATCTTCCATTGGCATTTTTTTCATGTACACCTCTGTCAAAACAGTTTTGGAAAATATTATCTATCTTCTCAGTTTTCTTTATACTTTACAAAAAAAGCCACCACCTCAACTCTTTTCTAGTTGCAGTTCAGCTCTCAAAATCTGAGTCGCAGTCATGAAGTCTTTGCTGTGGTCTTCACAAACAAAACACCCCAACCAACCGACCACCACCACCAACAGAAAACCAACACCCAGAAAAAAGAAATAACTATGCAATTGAAGTAAACTTCAGTGTTAAAATCAGCTAAATGCACAAAATAATAGGTAGTTCTCTTCTAGTTTTTAAAGCAGCTCACTTCAGCCAATGCTTTTTTGTATCTGCTGTCACTGCGTATTCTATTAAATGAGTTTACTAGTTTATAAAATTGTTACATTTCAATTATATTGTCAGAAAACATAAATCTCAAATCTCAAATACATGTTTAGCATAGAATAGTAGAGGCATCCAGCCAGGGACCAGAAACTATTGCATGTGAGCTGTGCACTTAGTCAAAATAACTTCAAAGAAATCTAAGACTGCCACATTAAATCCAGAACCAGAAAAACATTATGCAAAATTGCAGTTTCTAATAAATTTTTTTAACAGCTAAAAGTCATTATATCAATTCCTTTAAAGCATTTTCACACCTACAGTTTGACCTCCGTAAAGACCAAGTAAGGACTGCATGATGCTAGCAGCAAATGAGCCGCTTCAAAGGGGCTGAATGCACCTTCTCAGGAGACACCTATGTCTCTGTGGAGCTGCATCAACTTACAGACAACTCACTGCAGACACATTAGCTTTCCAGATCAATACCTGTACATGTGCTGTTCAGTGTCATGCAGAGACATCCGAGCTAGCTCTTCATCAGCCAGGGAGTAGCTGAAGCAAAACAGCCAGGTTGTTTTGGTGAACAGGCTAATAGGTTCTCTTAGGGCAGCCGGCATCTTGATTGTTGGAAGATTGTAACTGCACAGATCCAGTTGTAAGACCTGTTCCAAGGGCTGAACTAAAACCCAGGTGAAGCCAACAGGGTCCTTCTCATTGGCTTCAGTGGGCTTTTGAGCAGCCCTTCCTCCCTGCCCAAGGGATGAATTGATCTTCAAACACCCAAAATATGAAAACAGTTGTTTTTTTCATGCAACATTCAGTTTGAATTGTCATCTTGAGAAGTCACACAGGATTTAGTGCAATTTAGAAGAAATTTACTACATTAGCTATACAGGAATATTTGCTCATTGAAAAGAATGAGACATTACAAGCTGCAATGAGTGGTTTTGAATTGCTTAAGGGTTTCTTTTTTTTTTTCTGATTTCTTTGTCTATGCAAAGATATAGGTCATATCAAACCACTGCTTGGATATGATGCTGGACATACGTCAGCAAGAAAACAGGTGAATGAATTTGTATGAGAAAGGGTTATATTTGGCTCAATTTAACTTCAGTCATACATTAAGAAATTATTATAAACTGTAATATAATACTTGGAAAAATGTATTTTAATAAAAAAATATGGATACAGTTCATCTGCGGAAGCCAAGCCTTCTGCTTATGTAGATGTGAGCTACAAGGGAGCTTTGGACACTAAACATGACGAATCCACTCTTGTTCTCTAGGGCGTAAGCGGTGGTTTTGGTGATGAACAAGATCCCTGGCTATCAAAGCTGGTTGCTCTGCCAGGTAACTGCAAGAAAAGTGTTAATTTTACAAATGTCAGCATATCATGATCATTTCAGATGATGAGAGACTCCCTCAAAGAACCCAAATCGAATCTAAAGCCTTTCTTGATCAAAGTCTCCAGCAGAAATAATAATGGGAACAAAATTCCTGAAATGAACTAAAAATGCCTCTGAGTCATTTCAGAGGAGGGGGTTTATTTCACTAATTGGGGGTGGTACCTCTGTTTCCCAATTTACATAATCCAGACAGAGCCACGTGCCTGTAAAAATAGGTTTCTTTGCTGCATTGACTCGATTTAGTTGCACTCGTACTCTTCTTTAGGTGTTTTCTGTTGGTTTTTTTCTACCTGTCACTGGATATGCTGTGCAGTCATGTGCTGTGCAGTGGGGAAAACAAAAGAGCCCGTAATGCCTCAGACAGCAACTCAGTTTTCTGCAGAGGTTGCTTTTGGTAAGAGCTAAGCAGTGTGTTGTCTGTGTCCCAAAACTGCATGCTGCTTCTTGAGGCTTCAATATGAATCTTTCCAAATCCAAAGCTGTGAGCATTTTGCATACAGAAAACCAGTAAGATATGGCTGCAGCAGGTTGAAGAGGGAGTCCAAGCCCACATATTTGTAGGCATAATCACTCGTGTATTTGAATAAGCTTCCAATAAGTGCCTGGCCGAGTAACTCTGGAGGTACCTGCTGGTATGTTGCCTTAATTTAGCGTAATTAGCAGGCCAGTTTCAGATTAATATTTTAGCAACATATCTGATCATGTCAAAGATTTTTGAAGAGGAAATTATTACTTTTGAAATACTTGCAAATGACCTCTTCTAAGTGGAGATAAGCTCCTTATCATAATTTCTGGAAATTTATTATGTCTTTATTTAATCTTATAATGCCATCAGTGCAGCATGGAAACTTTTGAAATGGCACACTTAAGTAACCAATAAACCCAAGCAACTAGATTTAGGTTGTGCTAAGGATCATAGAGCTTCTCCTTAGAGACTTCGCTGATTTTCATGATTCTTAGAAGCACAGAAGCATGAGAGAGGCAGAACATTCAGCATACTGAGAAGCAGAAAATTTGGCTACTTCTTACCTCTAGTAGTGGATGCCAGTGAGTTATTGGTTTACGTGGGTAAGCCAACATTTCATTCCAATGATCTCTTCCAAGCCCTTCAGCATCAATTCCTGTCCGACATACCCCAATGACCTCATTGTGCCCTACTCTGAGAATTGAAGAAAGGCAAATTTTTAAAAAATAAAACCAGTTTTAGTAACATCTGATGTAATTCAGTGTGCTGGTTTAGTGCAGCACAGAATACATGCCCAAAGTTTCCACATTACTTACCACAGATATTAGATTTAGCAGTAGTATAGTAATATAGTCTACAATGGTAGCGTCAAAAACCTCCAGCCACTACGTGCTTCTAGCAGCTATAAAATTTGCAATGAAGACTTAACCTTTGCCATTAAAATGTTACAACCCAAAGAATACAAGCAGAGAAACGGATCATAATGCACCAAATGATCTAGAAGGAAAGCATGCTGAAATTTTGTCAAGGTGAAAGAAAATAGTGCGGAATACATTTCCTGCTTCAAATCCTTCAGATGTTATTTCACACTCTATTTCCCAGATCTTACTGTTGTCATCATTGGAACTTCAGTCAGAATTGTGAAAGGCAAGAGGCATTGCCATGACAGGCTATGCCTTAATACTTCATACTGCTGGCAGTGCCATACACTTGTTGAGGAATTCCAGGAAATAATTTCTGTACCTTGCCCATATGTACATTAGAATGTTTGCTAACTTTTTCTTACCAAATGTTTTGAAAGGAGCAGCTGAAGAGACTGAATGTGTGCAGGCTGCTGTTCTTTTCCCAATGGCACCATAGTGCCCTTTCACATCTGACTGAGAAAGTCTTCCTGACAGAAGTTGGAGGATGATCAGAAATCTAATGGCAAGTAAAAGCAATCTGAAGGTTTGTGTTACTAAATTTGACTTTCCTTGTTTATTTGCTCTGCAATATCAAGAGCTCACTACTAATAGCACTTGAATGAAGCAGACTTGGCTTGGGCTTGATTCTGTCAGTCACTGTCTAGTTTAACCTGCAGTCCTTGAACATCTCTAAGTAGGAGTCTCTTCCTGAAGAATTCTTGGTGAGGACATAGAAAATTGAGGCTCAGATGTTTTATCAACCAGGGCTGAACTCAAAGGCTACAAATCTTCTCTATTGACTCAAATGAAGAATTAATTATTACTTAATTCAATGAAGCAATTATCATCTAATTCTATTTTAGTAATCCTTTTTTATTATTTTTTTAGGGTTTTTTTTATAGTTCAAATATCTGCAATTTAAATAGACATTAGAAGAGTGAGAGACTCTTTTAAGCTGGGAGACATACCTGATTTATAAAGATTTTATATAGTCCAGCCACCAGATGGGGAAAGAAATATATGCCAAGGCTAGTGGCCCATAAAAAGATTAAGCCATGTTTCTTCTGCATCACATTTATTTATGACACAGATAAAATGGCCTGAGCTCTAAAAGGTGTGGGAGCTTTAACCCTCTACTTCCTTTTAAATCAAAAGACCCAAAGGCTTTATCTTTTGTGACATTAAACCTGCTTTTAAGTTCAAGGAAATGGAATGCAGTTGCTTGCAATGATCAGGTAACTTCTCACTGAAGATTAATGGTAAGAAATCAAACTGCTCTTACCTATCGTAATCCATCACTGCAATGGAGAGGCTGACCTGGTCCACGTTCTCTGGAGGGATATCAAAGATGATGGCCTCATTATAAACGGGATTGAGCGTGTTTTTCTTTGTGGTAGTCTTCCGCTTTTTCAGTCTTCGCCCCTCACACATCAGTGACACTTTGACATACGGATCTGAGTAACAGACAATCAGTTGTGTGCATTTGGACTCAAAGTTATTCAAATGTGTAGTATAAGAGCAATCTTTTTTTTTTTTTTTTTTTTTTTGTAGGAATGTCATATCAATAAAACAATGCAAAGGAAAAACACGGGCATTCTGAATAAGACGTAGTGACTGCCAGGCCAAAGACAGCCAGTAGATCTGAAAAGTGCCTATACCCATTCTCGTGCTACTTCCATTTCACAACAATGTTAAGCACACAAAACCCAAGGAGTTCCTGTTTGTCCCCTTCTTGCCTGCCTTCTTATTAAAAAAAGTAGATTCACCTGATGCGCCAGTTATGTCCATTGCTTTGAGATTCCTACATTTGATGACAGTTAATGTCATTCTCCCAGCAGTAGGCAAATAACAAAGGGAAAACATGATCTCACCCAAATCTATGCTCTCCTGAAAAAGAAAATAAATGATTAGCAATCTGACCATACTGCCAACAATTCAGTTCAGATCTTGCAGAAACTTAGAATTTCTTTTTTAACATGAAGAGACTTGTTTTGCAGCCTCAGGTGCTTCTGCGGATGTCACAACCAGTGTCCAGAAATTATTTATATAAAATACTGAAAGGGTGCCAGCAGGATAATATTTTAGTGACAGGATTTAGAATTACTAAATAGAGAAATTATTAAAAAGCGGAACCAAAACTTTCTGGATTCCTGATATGTTTGTGTTGTATTCACATAAATGAAAAGGTACTGAATGTGGAAAGTTAATTTCTGCTCTTGAAAAGACTCAAACTCCATTATTTCCAATAGAAAGAAATTTGCTGGGATATTTAGATCACACACATTTACACGACTTCTAGCCACTGGAATTTATGTAGGAGATATATTCCTGAACATATGTATGCAAATCAAAAGTTTATCCTGTCTAAGTGCTTTGAAAAGATGAATCTGCTGGTAAAAGCTGCTGGTTTTATTGCTCTTACTGTGCTTTGAGGGGTTCTGTTCTGGAAGAAAAGCAAAATAAAGGAGTAGCACCTACAACCTGCCTTGCCCAACAGCAATTTTTTGGAAGATAACATATTTGGAAAGATGGATAAGGTCCATGTGGATCTTGATAATCCTCATAAAGAGATAGTTTCTATGTTGAGACAATGTGCTGTGAATTCATATAATATCATGTTGCTGTACAATTCAGATGCTGCAACATTTGAGAAATGTAATCTAAGAAAGAGAGGATCCATCAATTCTTATTTTTTCTTTTCTCACAGTTATATAATTATCCTAATACTATAAAAGTTTACTTGTTGAGTTGCTAGTTATGTTCTAAATTGTTCCTTTTAAATATACCCCCCCCTCAAAAGAAAGTTGCATATTAAAAACAACTTAGGTTTTATAAATACAAGCTTACAAGGAGCATGTAAGGAAGTCACTTCTGTATGGCAGCCACTCTCAAAAAAAAAAATGCTTATGTGATCCCAAAGGACTTTTTCTGACCTACTACTAAAAGGATTATTTTTAATATCTCAGCTCTAATATTTTATCTGTTAAAGCTATAGCTACCCTGAGAGTACAAATTTGCTTGAAAACTGCTGTATTTATGGTACAGCTGCTCTAACATCAGAAGGCAAGGTTGATAAATCTTTAAATGATACATAATGATTGCTGCGTAGATGACAAATGCATTACTTACAGTTATGAGACAGACTAGGACTTACTCCTCAGATTTTTAGCTGCTTATTTGAACATGTTTATTGACTTTCTTTGGCTTAATATTCTGTTTAAATTCAAATAAGCACTTCAGATCTTTCCTGAGTAAAGATGGACTTAATCACATGCTTCAGGGAGGTTTTGTTGTTTGTTTATTTAGGGTTTATTTTTGTTATTTGTTCTGGTTTTTTATTTGGTTTTGTTTTCCCTCCTTTGCAGTCTTTAGATTGAAGAATGCAGTCTTAGAATATCTTTAAATTCTCTGTTGCACTGTTAATGAAATATTGACTTTTGTGTAGCTTGGTCAACTCACATGTTCAGTCATTTTTCTAGGATTCTGTTCTGAGAATTAGTAGATTGATAAGCATGTGAACATGTACTGTGGGCAAATTTCATGCTTGTCAGGATTTCAGGATTTCAGATTGCTCAGGATTTCAAAATGATTTAGTTCATTCAGTCCACATAGGATAAATACAGCTATCTGACATCTCCTTAGCTCAAGTCCCCTACATTGCCACACACAACACAGTTTTGTGTCACAGAGTACAATAATAAATTCACTTTTCTATTTCAGAAAATATAAATAAAACTTCAAAAATGACTTGTAGTTCTTTTCTCTCATTTGTTAAAGTTGCAAGTGCTCTGTTATATTTTTTCATATCTGAAATCTGTTTAAAGCACAGCTTTTGTTATGAGCATTACTTTCTGAATTCAGAGTCTGATTGTTGTTCCTCATATCCATATGCCAAAGAGATCTCACTTTATTGTTTGAAAAGGAAATATAGTTACTCCACATCAAGTGTTTCAAAGCTTAAGGTCTATGTTGAGAAAGGTGATGAAGATGGGCTGGATCATAAAACACAATGGCCAGCTCATGAAAAGGACTAATTCTTCGCTTTTCAGAGAAATTACTTATATAAGTGAATGGAGAAAAAATCATTTTTGCAAGAGGTGAGTATGAACTTGAGTATTCTATAATTTCTTTCTCAAGAGAAATTGGGCAAATACCCAAAGATTTGGGTGAGCTCAAATGATAAACGAGACTGCAGGCAGAGCTATTTATCATCACTTATATACTTTAAAAGAAGCATTGTTCAAAAGACTTGCAAACTCCATATGCTTAACAAAATGGCAAGCATTTGATGCTTATGCTCAGTCCCTTCTTTCCTTTCTGAACACTTTGTACTGAAGACATACTGGAAAAGAGCTTGGAAAATCCCCTGCAATCAAATCTAGTGTTTCTGACTGGTGCAATGAATAAGCAATATGTGCCTTAATGCAAAAAGAAATTCTTGGACAACGAATGCGTCCAAGCACAGCAGTCTGCTCAAAGGGCAGATATACTGAAGTTTACCAAAGTTCTGTAACCTGTGTATTGACTACTCAGTCTGACATGGTAAGGGATGATTTTAGGATTGGGAAAAGGCTGTCTATCACTCCACTGTTAATGCAGGCATTTTCTGACACCTAACACCTGGAAAAAACGTGACTTGTGCTGCCCTGAAAGGTCTGATTTTCTTATTATAGAACAACAGTCATTTAGCTCTATCCACCAATTCAATAGAGAAATTCTGCAATACACCACAATAGACATTATTTTAAATAAACATTCTTGTCTATCTCAGAGATTTGAGTCATTCATTGTGATTTCAATGGGCTAGAAATAAATTTAGTAGTTACCCTGCAGTAATGTGTAGATACCATTTAAACTCTTCTCCTGGTGGAGAGAACTGGCCATCATAGAATGCCATCACAGACTCGGATTTCCCATGGTCCTCAGATTGAGTTAAAATACATGTTTGTTCAGAATCCTTCAAAGAACTCTGATATTTTAATCTTTTTAATTTAATTTGGTACTAGTTGTGGCATCTGATGTTTGCTGACAGCTTTGTAGACAGTGTCTTTTTGCTTAGTAAGGAGTAGAAATTCCAAGTACTTTTACTTAGTTTCTACTTTTAGTATCTGCTGAAGTTGGTTATGCTTGAGTGAACTGATTATATTTTATTAGGACCTCTACAAGTCACAGGGCAACTGGGGATTAAGGCACTAAAATGCACCATTAAAATAAATATTCTTTGGAAAACAATCACACAAGCTAACACCCAAGACTTTCAAATGTTGCTTTGAAGGATTAATATATATGATAGCATTAGAAACTGGGACAGGGATATCACCATTTCCCCCCATGCACTTTTTTGTTAACTTGAGAACTGCAGGTTCATTATCTGGAGCAGAAAACATAGGTTCAAACCTAAATAATGAACAAAGTAAGGTTCAGCATTTAAACTTCTCATGGCAGTCTTCCTCTGTCTACCACATTGTTTATAATGAGTAGCATTTTTAAATGCCCTGGATCCTTAAATATTATTGATTTTAACTGAGATTTAAAAATAGAATT